CCATGTGCTGACATGTTTGTGTCCATGTGCTGACATGTTTGTGTCCATGTGCTGACATGTTTGTGTCCATGTGCTGACATGTTTCTGTCCATGTACTGACATGTTTCTGTCCATGTGCTGACATGTTTCTGTCCATGTGCTGACATGTTTGTGTCCATGTGCTGTCAGGTTTGTTGTGTCCAAGTGCTGACATGTTTGTGTCCATGTGCTGTCATGTTTGTGTCTATGTGTGTATGTGTGCCAACAATTCAAAGTCGATGTCATCCGTTAATTTGCCAGTGTGTATCTCCCTCCAGGAAATCTAAACAGACCACGTGACGTCGACAAAGCTTGAATCTGGTCCTTCATATATATACTTATTGTAGTTATTTATAACATACCCGCAAACCAACACATACACACACACACACACACACACACACACACACAAGACATCGCCACGTATAGCTAACTCTGTTTCCACCTAGACATAGGACAGCCAAACTTGCGGATTCACTGCACACACGCGTGCCCTGAATTGTATGTCTGATCATTACTAATGTCTGTCTTTCAATGTCTGAGATGCAGTATGCACAGACCTATATGTACAGCCGTGGCCGTGTGAATCTTCATTCTACATCATGCTAAATAGGTGTTACTAGCTGCTTGTCACACTACACCATGCTAAATATTTGTTACTAGCCGGTTGTCACACTACATCATGCTAAATATTTGTTACTAGCTGCTTGTCACACTACATCATGCTAAATAGTTGTTACTAGCTGCTTGTCACACTACACCATGCTAAATAGTTGTTACTAGCTGCTTGTCACACTACATCATGCTAAATAGTTGTTACTAGCCGGTTGTCACACTACACCATGCTAAATATTTGTTACTAGCCGGTTGTCACACTACATCATGCTAAATATTTGTTACTAGCTGCTTGTCACACTACACCATGCTAAATAGTTGTTACTAGCTGCTTGTCACACTACACCATGCTAAATATTTGTTACTAGCTGCTTGTCACACTACATCATGCTAAATAGTTTGTTACTAGCTGCTTGTCACACTACATCATGCCAAATAGTTTGTTACTAGCTGCTTGTCACACTACATCATGCTAAATAGTTGTTACTAGCCGGTTGTCACACTACATCATGCTAAATAGTTGTTACTAGCTGCTTGTCACACTACATCATGCTAAATAGTTGTTACTAGCCGGTTGTCACACTACATCATTCTAAATAGTTGTTACTAGCCGGTTGTCACACTACATCATGCCAAATAGTTTGTTACTAGCTGCTTGTCACACTACATCATGCTAAATAGTTGTTACTAGCCGGTTGTCACACCACATCATGCTAAATAGTTGTTACTAGCTGCTTGTCACACTACATCATGCTAAATAGTTGTTACTAGCCGGTTGTCACACTACATCATGCTAAACAGTTGTTACTAGCTGGTTGTCACACTACATCATGCTAAATAGTTTGTTACTAGCTGCTTGTCACACTACATCATGCTAAACAGTTGTTACTAGCCGGTTGTCACACTACATCATGCTAAATAGTTGTTACTAGCCGGTTGTCACACTACATCATGCTAAATAGTTGTTACTAGCCGGTTGTCACACTACATCATGCTAAACAGTTGTTACTAGCCGGTTGTCACACTACATCATGCTAAATAGTTGTTACTAGCTGCTTGTCACACTACATCATGCTAAATAGTTGTTACTAGCTGCTTGTCACACTACATCATGCTAAATAGTTGTTACTAGCTGCTTGTCACACTACATCATGCTAAATAGTTGTTACTAGCCGGTTGTCACACTACATCATGCTAAATAGTTGTTACTAGCCGGTTGTCACACTACATCATGCTAAATAGTTTGTTACTAGCTGCTTGTCACACTACATCATGCTAAATAGTTGTTACTAGTCGGCTGTCACACTACATCAAGTTGAACAGTTGTTACTAGCCGGTTGTCACACTACATCAAGCTGAACAGTTGTTACTAGTCGGCTGTCACACTACATCAAGTTGAACAGTTGTTACTAGCCGGTTGTCACACTACATCAAGCTGAACAGTTGTTACTAGCCGGTTGTCACACTACATCAAGCTGAACAGTTGTTACTAGCCGGTTGTCACACTACATCATGCTAAAAATGTGTTACTAGCCGGTTGTCACACTACATCATGCTAAATACTTGTTGCTAGCCGGCTGCCACACAACATCAAGTTGAACAGATGTTACTATCCGGCTGTACCACTACATAAAGTTGAAAAGTTGTTACTAGCCATTTGTCACACTACATCAAGCTGAACAGTTGTTACTAGCCGGCTGTCACACAACTGGCAATAAGCATTATGCCAGGTCGACCCACCCTTGAGTGGGTACCAGGTGCCGTCCCGGGAGGTAAATGCGGCTGACGTAGGCGGCTGGCATGATGCTGACCACATCCCCCATCTTGTGTTAATTTGTATATAAAAATATAGGTTTAGCCGTATATGCCCTTACGCCTAATGGCGTGGATAAAGGGTCCTATACTTTGTTACTTACCAGCTGTCGTTGTCTTGATGACAAACTTATCTCTCCCACAGTCCCCGAGGTTAGATGCGTGGTTTGCTGTTGTTGTTGTACAAACTGCTTTGTTTAACTGTTTGCGCATGTATCACCTGCCAGCTGTGTACCATGAGCAGCCGGACTATGTGGGCCACATTTATGGGCCTGATTCCCCAGAGCTGGCAGAGACCGTTCGCAGCATCGACACGGAACTGGGGCGGCTGTTGGATGATCTACAGCAATTGCAGGGGCAGTATCAGGTATGTGGAACCGCATGGGCTACAGCTGAGGTCCTGGCACTGCGATGTGTGGGGCTACAGCTGAGGTCCTGGCACTGCGATGTGTGGGGCTACAGCTGAGGTCCGGGCACTGCGATGTGTGGGGCTACAGCTGAGGTCCTGGCACTGTTGATGTGTGGAGCTTTAGCTGAGGTCCTGACGCTGCGATGTTTGGGGCTACAGCTGAGGTCCTGGCACTGCGATGTGTGGGGCTACAGCGGAGGTCCTGGCACTGTTGATGTTGTGGGGCTACAGCTGAGGTCCTGGCACTGTCGATGTGTGGCGCTACAGCTGAGGTCCTGGCATTGTTTATGTGTTGCTACAGCTGAGGCACTGTGGATGTGTAGGGCTACAGCTGGGATCCCATCACTGTCGTTGTTTGGGGCTACAGCTGAGGTCCTGGCATTGTTTATGTGTGGGGCTACAGCTGAGGCACTGTCGATGTGTGGGGCTACAGCTGGGATCCCGTCACTGTCGATGTGTGGGGGCTACAGCTGGGATCCCGTCACTGTCGATGTGTGGGGCTACAGCTGAGGTCCTGGCTCTGTGGATGTGTGGGGCTACAGCTGGGATCCCGTCACTGTCGATGTGTGGCGCTACAGCTCAGGTCCTGGCACTGTTTGGAAATCAACTGCAGTGGGGCACGTGTAGAATAACCTACAAGGTTAAGTCTTTACATCAGAGCCTACATTTCTAGCAGATAATCCCAGAGAGCTCGTCTGCAGCAGATAATCCCAGAGAGCTCGTCTGCAGCAGATTTTCAAGTAACAACAAATAATAAAGTATGTTTACTACTAATTATATTTTGCCGCCCTGAAAGTATTTTTTCCCCAAGACTATTGCCGGCACCAGAATTGTGCCGCCCTATGCAGCTGCGCATGCTGCACACACCTAACTACCGCCCTGGTGGTGGTTGCGGTGATCAGTGGACAACTAAGGTCCGCTGTCCACCCACTGCCCGGTTATCAGATGTTCCACCCACTTCCCGGTTACCAGATGTTCTGCCCGGTTACCAGATGTTCCACCCACTGCCCGGTTACCAGATGTTCCACCCACCGACCGGTTACCTGACGTTCCACCCACTGCCCGGTTACCAGAGGTTTCCCCCATTGCCCGGTTACCTGACATTCCACCCACTGCCCGGTTTCCAGATGTTCCACCCATTGCCCGGTTACCAGATGTTCTGCCCGGTTACCAGATGTTCCACCCACTGCCCGGTTACCAGATGTTCTGCCCGGTTACCAGATGTTCCACCCACTGCCCGGTTACCAGATGTTCCACCCACTGCCTGCTTAAAAGATGTTCCACCCACTGTCCGGTTACCAAATGTTCCACCCACTGCCCGGTTACCAGATGTTCCACCCACCGACCGGTTACCTGACGTTCCACCCACTGCCCGGTTACCAGATGTTTCACCCATTGCCCGGTTACCTGACGTTCCACCCACTGCCCCGTTACCAGATGTTCCAACCACTGACTGTACATCTGTTGTCAAAGCAATGTCCTGTCATCAGCGTTCCACTCATTGTTCTGCTATCAGCTTTCCACTCATTGTCCTACTATCAGCTTTCCACTCATTGTCCAGCTATCAGCTTTCCACTCATTGTTCTGTTATCAACTCTTCACTCGCCTAGTCATTAACTTTCATCTCATTGTCCTGCCATCAACTTTCTACTTATTGTCCAGCCAATAATTTTCCACTCATTGTCCAGTCATTAGCTTTCCACTCATTGTCCAGTCATCAACTTTCCACTCATTGTCCAATCATCAACTTTCCACTCATTGTCCAGTCATCAGCTTTCCTCTCATTGTCCAGTCATCAACTTTCCACTCATTGTCCAATCATCAACTTTCCACTCATTGTCCAATTATCAGCTTTCCACTCATTGTCCTGCTATCAACTGTTGCATCCATTGTCTTGCTATCGGATGTTCTACTCAATGTCAAGTAATCAGTTATTTTCCACTTAAAGTACAGTTATTTTCCACTTAAAGTCCAGTTAATTTCCACTTAAAGTCCAGTTAATTTCCACTTAAAGTCCAGTTAATGTCCACTTAGAGTGCAGTTACAAGCAGCCTGCCTTTCAGCGTCCAGTAATCAATTATTGTCCGCTAATTATCCAGTCATCAATTACTGTCCACAACGTCCAGTTAACGTAGTTTCCAAATACTGTCCAGTTATTAGTTGTTTACTCAGTGACCATTCATCGGTTTTCCACTCCTTGTCCAGTCGCGAATTGTCTACTCAACGTCTAGTCGTCAACTGTCCACTCAATGTCTAAAGTCATTTGTTTTCTCAATGTCCAGTCATCAATTGTCCATTCAGTGTTCAGTCATCATTTGTCTTCTCAATTTCCAGTCATAGCTAGTTCATTCAATGTCCAATCATCATTTGTCTTATCAACGTCCAGTCATCGCTTGTCCATTCAATGTCCAGTAATCGATAAATTTGTATGCACTTAATGCCCAGAAACAGTTATCCCCACAATGCACAGATAAATCTGATTGTCGTATCTGACCACGGGATGACCTCAGTTGACACGAGCAAAGTAATAAACATCACCACCGTCCTGACTAACCGTGACTACTACCTGACCATCCAGGGGAAAGGGGCTCTGGCGGTGATCCACACTGCGACAGGGTACAGGGATGAGGTAGGTCCACACACACACACACACGCTCACACTTACATCCACTTGATGCACACACATAGCTATAGTTCAGACACATTGGGGTACACTCACATATGTGGTACACACACCAATAATACACACATATGTGGTACACTCGCACCAAAAATACACACATATGTGGTACACTCACGCCAATAATACACACATATGTGGTACACTCACATCAATAATACACAGATATGTGGTACACTCACATCAATAATACATACATATGTGGTACACTCACATCAATAATACACACATATGTGGTACACTCACATCAATAATACACACATATGTGTGGTACACTCACATCGATAATACACACATATGTGGTACACTCACATCAATAATACACACATATGTGGCACACTCACGCCATTAATATACACAATATGTGTGATAGACAGAGAGAGCGCAAGAGACAGAGACAGCGAGAGAGTGAGAGCATGAGACAACGACAAACAGAAAGAGCGAGAGAATGAAACAACGACAAACAGAGAGAGCGAGAGAATGAGACAACGACTGACAGAGAGAAAGAGAGAATGAGACAACGACAGACAAAGATAATGAGAGAATAAGACAACGACAGACAGAGAGAGCGAGAGAATGAGACAACGACAGACAGAGAATGAGAGAATGAGACAACGACAGACAGAGAGAATGAGACAAGGACAGAAATAGAGAATGAGACAACGACAGACAGAGATAATGAGAGAATGAGACAACGACAGACAGAGAGAATGAGAGAATGAGGCAACGACAGAAAGAGAGAATGAGACAACGACAGACAGAGAGAGCGAGAGAATAAGACGACAGACAGGGAGAGAGAGCGAGAGACAGGCAGCGAGAGAAAGAGAGAGCAAGAGACAGAGACAGCGAGAGAGTGAGAGAATGAGACAACGACAGACAGAGAAAATGAGAGAATGAGACAACGACAGACAGAGAGCGAGCGAGAGACAGCGTGAGAGCGAGAGACAGAAAACAAACAAACGAACAAAGGAACTTTGACTAGAATGCTGGCATGCTGTGGACCGTGAGGTCGGCTACCATCACAAGGCTTAGATTCCGTGTTGAGGTATAAACATCTTTGTCCTGCCAGACTGGGCTGCCAGTGGGACAGGAGGCTGTGGACAAACTCAACGATTAATAATCTCTAGATACACAAAATATGTTTGTGTGTGTGTGTGTTGGTCTGTGTATATTCATATAAATGTATATATACAGTCCAGTCCACGTGCTCAAACTGTGTATCGCTTTTATTTTATTGTCTGCCGTATACCACCTGTATGTCCTTGTATGTATACCACCTGTATGTCCATGTATGTATACCACCTGTATGTCCATGTATGTATACCACCTGTATGTCCATGTATGTATACCATCTATATGTCCATGTATGTATACCATCTATATGTCCATGTATGTATACCATCTATATGTCCATGTATGTATACCATCTATATGTCCATGTATGTATACCACCTGTATGTCCTTGTATGTATACCACCTGTATGTCCATGTATGTATACCATCTATATGTCCATGTATGTATACCATCTATATGTCCATGTATGTATACCACCTGCATGTCCATGTATGTATACCACCTGTATGTCCATGTATGTATACCGCCTGTATGTCCATGTATGTATACCACCTGTATGTCCTTGTATGTATGCCACCTGTATGTCCTTGTATGTATACCACCTGTATGTCCATGTATGTATACCACCTGTATGTCCTTGTATGTATACAACCTGTATGTACATGTATGTATACCACCTGTATGACCTTGTATGTATACCACCTGTATGTCCTTGTATGTATACCACCTGTATGTCCTTGTATGTATATCATCTGTATGTCCTTGTATGTATACCACCTGTATGTCCATGTATGTATACCACCTGTATGTCCATGTATGTATACCACCTGTATGTCCATGTATGTATACCACCTGTATGTCCTTGTATGTATACCACCTGTATGTCCATGTATTATACCACCTGTATGTCCATGTATGTATACCACCTGTATGTCCATGTATGTATACCACCTGTATGTCCATGTATGTATACCACCTGTATGTCCATTCATGTATACCACTTGTATGTCCATGTATGTATACCACCTGTATGTCCATGTATGTATACCACCTGTATGTCCTTGTATGTATACCACCTGTATGTCCTTGTATGTATACCACCTGTATGTCCATGTATGTATATCATCTGAATATCCATGTATGTATACCATCTATATGCCCATGTATGTATACCATCTATGTCTGTGTATGTATACCATCTACATGTCCATGTATGTATACCATCTATATATCCATGTATGTATACCATCTGTATATCCATGTATGAATACAATCTGTATGCCTATGTATGTATACCATCTATATGTCTGTGTATGTATACCATCTATATGTCTATGTATGTATGTTTCCCACCTGTGTGTCCACATATGTGTGTTTTCCACCTGTATGTCAACATATGTGTGTTTCCCATCTGTATGTCCACATATGTGTGTTTCCAACCTGTATGTCCACATATGTGTGTTTCTCATCTGTATGTCCACATATGTGTGTTTCCCAACTGTATATTTACATATGTGTGTTTCTCCCTGTATGTCCACATGTGTGTGTTATCCACCTGTATGTCCACATATGTGAGTTTCCCACCTGTATTCCACATATGTGTGTTTCTCATCTGTATGTCCACATATGTGTGTTTCCCACCTGGATGTCTACATATGTGTGTTTCCCCCTGTATGTCCACATATGTGTGTTTTCCGCCTTTATGTCCACATACGTGTGTTTCCCAACTGTATGTCAACATATGTGTGTTTCCCACCTGTATGTCAACATATATATGTTTTCCACCTGTATATCCACATATGTGTGTTTCCCACCTGTATGTCCACATATATATGTTTCCCACCTGTGTCAGGTGTTCAACCTGCTGGTCAACCTTAACCCATACATGGCGGTGTACAAGAAAGAGCAAATCCCTGACCGGTTCCACTACAAAGGTGGCAAATATGTCGGCGACATCTTGTGTGTGGCTGACTTGGGCTGGGTCATTGCTCAGGTGAGTGCCGAGATAATTGAGTTGACTGTACTGTCTGTATTAGACTATGTTATACTATGTTATACGGTACTGTCTCTGTTGAAGTATGCTGTTGTATTGTACTATATGCATTAGACTATGTTATACAGTAATGTCTGTGTTGTTGCGCTGTACAGTCTGCATTTTACTATGTTATACAGTACTGTCTGTGTTAAAGTATGCGGTTTTACTGTACTGTCGGTGTTATACTATGTTATAAGTATTGTCTGTGTTGAAGTATGCTGTTGTACTGTACTGTCTGTATTATACTATGTTATGCATTACTGTCTGTGTTAAAGTATGATGTTTTACTGTAATTGATGTATTGTACAGTACTGTCTGTGTTGAAGTGTGCTGTTTTACTGTACTGTCTGTATCACACTATGTTATACAGTACTGTTTGTATTGAAATATGTCGCTGTACTGTGCTGTCTGTATTTTACTATGTTGTACAGTACTGTCTGTGTTAAAGTATGCTGTTGTGCTCTACGGTCTGTATTATACTACGTTATATGGTACTGTATGTGTTGTTTTACTGTACTGTCTGTATTATACTACGTTAGAAGTACTGTCTGTGTTGAAGTATGCTGTTTTACTGTACTGTCTGTATTATACTATGTTACTAGTACTGTCTGTGTAGCAGTATGCTGTTGTATACTGTTGTACTGTACTGTCTGTATTGTACTATGTTATTCAGTACTGTCTGTGTTTGAGTATGCTGTTGTATTGTACTTTCTGTATTATACAGTAATGTCAGTGTTGAAATATGTTGTTGTAGTGTGCTATCCCAAGTATACTTTACTGCAGGCCTGTGCGCTAAATTTTCTTAGTAAAATGCAAGTCTTCGAAATGCCGACCCTTGGAAGTTCAAACTGTATATTGATTTCGAAATCCTCCCTTTAAACTTTTGAAAATTCGAAGTCATGTATGGTACCACCCTGGGGGTGACTATAGGAAACACTTTCGTTGGACAGCCCGTCGATGGGACGCGTAGTTAGTTAGCCGGAGACGACAGCCTTCTCGAAGAACCATCGACAAACTTTGTGTGTTTACATTAAGACAAGATTTCATGTAACACAACCTGGTAGACGACCCTGGTAACAGATGGTTGGACGTCTAGTTTCAAGGGTGACTAGTTGGTTAGCCGAGTTTGTGCAAATACAGCAGAAAGAAAAGACATCCACCCTCTTAAAGTGGCCGAGTGGTAAGAGACAGTGATCGCTTTGAGGCATGTCAAAAAAAATTTTGACTGTTTTGAAGCAATCTGACATGCCCAGTGGAGCAAAACATGTTAGTAAGAATATCGACAATTTTGTCACAATATCGTTTTGTGTTTTGTAAAAGTCGCTCTGTATTTCTTAAAAGTCGCCTTATGTTGTACAAATGTCTTCTCGTGTTTCGTCAAAGTCATCTTATGTTTTGTAAAGGTCGCCCTCTCGTTTCTAAAAGTTGCCTCGTATTTTCCACAAGTCGCCCTCATGTTTCTAAAAGTCCACTTGTGTTTTTTTATAGTTACCCTCTGGTTTCTAAAAGTCACCCTCTAGTTTCCAAAAGTCGCCTTGTGTTTTTTTATGTTACCTTGTGTTTTCCTAAAGTCGCCGTGTGTCCGAGTCGTCAGGGACAGCTGGCGAAAGACGTGTGACACACACTGTGTAAATTTAAGATCTCTCAAAATACCAAGACATCGAGTGTTTTACCAATAGAAAAGATATCTTAGTGACTTGAATGGTACCAATACTAATTAATGACTTACCAAGAAAGGCTGGTGAACGAGTGACTTATGCTGTCCCAAACAAGAAAGACATTAGGCATCTTAGGAGGTCCCAAAGGCTAAAGACATTGAAGGCTTTAAGGTGACCTAGGGATAGTGGCCGACCTTACTAAACAACTTGCATAAACTCCGTAGCAAAATCAGTGACCAATTTAGGAAGGCTCTTGTGACTTAACGAGAAAAGACATTGCGCGACTTGAGATTTCTAAACTGATAAAGACACCGAATGACTCAAGCTGTTCCAGTTATCTTGGCTGAGTTGATAAGAAACTTCCGTGAACGATTGAATTTTGTGTTACATTGTGTCCCAGAGAGAAAGACAGCTGATAACTTAAGTTGTCCTAAGAACAGTAAACATCTTACCACGGAACATCAGTAAAGCTTCGTTAAGAGAAGCCAGTAGCCGTTTGTTGCACGTGTTGAGTCATTCAGGCTATCCCAAAAGAGAAAGACACTAAATGCTTAACGGTGTCCCTGAGATACTAGCCGGTCTTACCAAAGTGATTCTGTGAACGACTTACCGATATTAATGAGCAACTTTCGAATTGTCTTGTGTGTCCCAAACGAGAAAGACAGCGGATGATTTAGTATCTACCAAGACACTGATCGCCTTACAAAAAACACCTAACCCACTTTAAGTTTTCCTGAGTCTAGTGGTTGCCTTAGTAGGAAATGTTTGTGACCGCCTTAGGAAACCAGTGACCAATAGGGAAGTTCAATGAACGACTTACCTAGAAACTTCGGTGAACCGATTACAAACACTAGTGATTACCTTGCGGGGTAAATTATGTGATTTATGGTGATTAGTCGACATGACAATTTGCCCTCTCACTGAATATCTGCCTCTAACATTGTGTCATGTCATTAACCGAATTTACTTCGTTTTCATATTGTGTTATGAAAGGCATAACACCATGAGCCCTTACATGCTGTCCGCCCGTTTGCCACCTAAGACTGTCCCAGTCCCATTCGTCATCTGGTAGCGCCGCTTCTGACCTACAACTTAAACCCTCCCTGAGCGGCAATTTCTAACAGTATGACAAACAGTTCTCATTTTTTTTCTACAGATCAACCCTATCTGTACGACCAGAACCCGCCAGTATGACACAACGGTCGCAATTTTGCTTTTTTTTTCCCTACATCTTGAACTACTTATGAGTGGTCGGCGTCCAATAGTATGTCACAACAGCCGCCGTTTTGCTAAGGTTTCATTTTTACTACCACTCAAACCCTCCCTGAACTACAAACATCTATCACTATGACAAGAAACCCGCCCATTTGCCATGCATTCTCCTTTTTACTACAGCATAAACCATCTCTAAGCGGCCGGCATTTTCCACTATGAGAGAAAGGTTACAATTTTGCCATAAATTTCCCTTTTTACTTCACCTCGAACCCTCACTTAGCAGTAGGCATTCAATAATATGTCACAATGGCTGCCATTTTGCTAAAGTTTTCTTTTTTACTACAACCTAAACCCTCCCTAAACACTAGCATCTAACACTATGACAAGACACTAACCTTTCTGTTGTACGTTCTCCTTTTTACTATAGCTCAAACCATCCGTTCGCAGTCGGCATTCCATACCATGACACAGATGATGATGATGATGGCGTCCGAGCCACCCTTTCTCATATATCCTCGGTCATCAAACCACCTTCCTAGGTTTATTTATCTAAACACTAAAACGGCCCCCTCCGACGCTCGTCAATAGCGCCCATAGGCCTTTTTCCATATCCCGTAAATTGTATCGTTTTATAACATATATATTCTCCGCTAACAAACCACCCCTAATCTTTTTCTATTAGATAAGCCATAAACCATCACCAACCCTATTAGTAGCCCGGTCGCCACGGGTCCTATGCTCCGCTCGCCCCACTGCTCATTTTTTTAAATAGCAGTTTGGCTGGCTGATAAGCCCCTTTTCTTCGGCCGTGTATACCTATCAAACAAAAGAGAGCCTCGCCCTCTGCGGCGCTGACAAAATGGTGAAAAATCACTAGAGCGGTTTTTATTGCCTGCTCACTATGTCCAGGGCGAACAGTAAAGCCGACCGATAAGTCACTTTTATATAACGCGAAATAATTGCTTGAAGTAATTGTCTGAGGCCGCGTAATACATATTTAGGCCCGGCGCTAAAGAAATATCGATTTGCTTTCCTTAAAACTAAATCAAGCCCTTAAAAAAATATCGACAAAAGACAACCCCATGAGTCATCCGCCACTTTGTCACAAGTCTTTTCCGCAATAAAGAAATATCGATTTGCCTTCCTTAAATAACATCAATCATCTAAGTAAACGTCGACAAGCGACACGCCGGGAATGAGTCACCCGTCGCTATGGAGACAATGTAAAGTATTGATTTTTACACCATATGTCTTTCCCCGCCCGGAAAACCGTGAGGTCATCAGCCTCCCTATGAATATTTACTAAGGATAAAGAGGGAGGTTAAAAAGGTCTCCCGGAAACAACCAATCACTTGTGACGACAGATGGCCGCCATCTTTTACTAAGGATAAAGAGGGGTGTTGCTAAGTCCCCAGATGAAAATGATACCTCAAACACTCTAGCCCACTACTCACCTTAAAAAACCATTTGGTGGACAAGAATATTGCGAATATACTGGATGGACAAGAAGAATGTTGCCAACATACTAGGTGGTCAAAAAAAATACCGTTAATATACTGGGTGTACAAGAAGAATACTACGAATATCTTGTGTGGACAAGTAGAATACTACGAATATCTTGTGTGGACAAGTAGAATACTACGAATATCTTGTGTGAACAAGAAGAATACTACAAATATCCTTGGTAGACAAGTAGAATACTACGAATATCCTTGGTAGAAAAATAGAATACTACGAATATCCTTGGTAGACAAGTAGAATACTACGAATATCTTCTGTGGACAAGTGGAATACTACTAAAATCTAGTGTGGACAAGAAGAATACTACGAACATCCGTGGTAGACAAGTAGAATACTACGAATATCTTGTGTGGACAAAAAGAATACTACGAACATCCGTGGTAGACCAGAAGAATACTACGAATGTTCTTGGTAGACCAGAAGAATACTACGAATATCCTTGGTAGACAAGTAGAATACTTGAATATCTTGTGTGGACAAGATAAATATTGCGAATATACTAGTACAAGAGTTATAAATCATCCAATAAAAGAAAGATGGCTGTTCACTCTCTAATTTTTAGAGGATTATGTGGATACGTACTGAATGTTCTCAAATTCAAAAGCTCAAATGTAAGTAGTTGATGTAGTACTTTCTGATTGTTCTCTCTGTTCCATTCACAATATTTTGATTTGAAAATGGGTCATCCTTAGCAAGTCATCTCCTACCCGAAAAAAAAAAAAATTTAAAATTTAGTTCTACCAAAATAACCCGCATTTTCATCGTAAAAACTGAACATCGTTGCCTTGGTGGTGACGTCACGTCAAGCTGACGTCATTAGCCACACGGCCCATACTAAAGACCGCCTTAGCACTGCCCTGCTGTGCTGTATGTGTTAGTGTGCTATGTTGTACTGCTGTCTATGTTAGTGTGCTATGTTGTACTGTTGTCTCTTGTATACTGTGCTGTCTGTGTTAGTGTGCTATGTTGTACTGCTGTCTCTTGTATACTGTGCTGTCTGTGTTAGTGTGCTATGTTGTACTGCTGTCTCTTGTATACTGTGCTGTCTGTGTTAGTGTGCTATGTTGTACTGCTGTCTCTTGTATACCGTGCTGTCTGTGTTAGTGTGCTATGTTGTACTGCTGTCTCTTGTATACTGTGCTGTCTGTGTTAGTGTGCTATGTTGTACTGCTGTCTCTTGTATACTGTGCTGTCTGTGTTAGTGTGCTATGTTGTACTGTTGTCTCTTGTATACTGTGCTGTCTGTGTTAGTGTGCTATGTTGTACTGTTGTCTCTTGTATACTGTGCTGTCTGTGTTAGTGTGCTATGTTGTACTGCTGTCTCTTGTATACTGTGCTGTCTGTGTTAGTGTGCTATGTTGTACTGTTGTCTCTTGTATACTGTGCTGTCTGTGTTAGTGTGCTATGTTGTACTGCTGTCTCTTGTATACTGTGCTGTCTGTGTTAAAGTGCTATGTTGTACTGCTGTCTCTTGTATACTGTGCTGTCTGTGTTAGTGTGCTATTTTGTACTGCTGTCTCTTGTATACTGTGCTGTCTGTGTTAGTGTGCTATGTTGTACTGCTGTCTCTTGTATACTGTGCTGTCTGTGTTAGTGTGCTATGTTGTACTGCTGTCTGTGTTAGTGTGCTATGTTGTACTGCTCCCTGTTTTATACCGTACAGTCTGTGTTAGTGTTCTATGTTGAACTACTGTGTCTGGTATACTGTGCTGTTTTTCATAGTGTGCTATGTTGTTCTGTTGTATCCTATATACTGTGCAGTCTGTGTTAGTGTGCTATGTTGTACTGCTGTCTGTTGTATACTGTGCTGTTTATATTTTACTATTTTTTGTGACTCATAGTGTACTGCCAGTTTGTCAGTTATGCTGAGAACATTGACTGTTATGTGTTAAAGATAAACCGTTTCCCTGTCTCCGGCAGCCATTGCGCCCCGGCTTCCCGCAGAAAAATGGACAGAACAAGCGTGGTAACCATGGCTACGACAACCTGGAGGCGGACATGCGCGGAATATTTTATGCTTATGGACCATGTAAGTGTTCTCTGGCGTGTTGTGACAATAGAGGCGGTGGTATACGTTGAGACCATGGAGTCTGTTGTAGAGGTTGAGACAATGGAGGCTTTGGTAGAGGTTGAGACAATGGAGGCTGTGGTAGAGGTTGAGACAATGGAGGCTGTGGGAGAGGTTGAGACAATGGAGGCTGTGGTAGAGGTTGAGACAATGGATGCGGTGGTAGAGGTTGAGACAAATGGAGGCGGTGGTAAAGGTTGAGACAATGGAGGCTGTGGTAGAGGTTGAGACAATGGTTGAGTTGGTAGAGGTTAAGACAAATGGTAGCGGGGGTAATAGTTGAGACAATGGAGGCGGTGGTAGAGGTTGAGACAATGGAGGCGGTGGTAGAGGCTGAGACAATGGAGGCGTTGGTAGAGGTTGAGACAATGGAGGCGGTGGTAGAGGTTGAGACAATGGAGGTGGTGGTAGAGGTTGAGACAATGGAGGCGGTGGTAGAGGTTGAGACAATGGAGGCGATGGTAGAGGTTGAGACAATGGAGGCGATGGTAGAGGATGAGACCATGCACGCGCTAATGGAGGCTGAGACAGTGGAGGCGATGATGGAGTATGTGTCGTGTATGTTAGGTCTGTGACCAGTGTGCTATATTGTGTGTTTACGTATCGTCGCTGCCATCCATAGACTGTCTGGTGAAGTTCTCTCAACAAAATCTTGTTCTAGATTTTAAGAGCAGCGTTACCGTGCCCAGTCTGGCTATAGTGGACATTTACAACATCATGTGTGACGTCGTGGGCATCCTGCCCCAACCTAACAACGGCACCTGGAGTCGTGTCACACCCTTGTTGAACCACTACAGAAGGGCCGAATCATGTCCAGCCATCTGAATAGTGGTCCAGTCGAGGACATCGTCTGAACACCTGCATGCTTTCATTCTCTGATGATTGTTGTAGTTTTATTATCTCACACAATCCTTGTCGACTGTAATATTTTTTTTTTTTTTTTTTAATAATAAAAAATTTTAATTTTCCGTGTTTGTTATAGCTAATCTCCGAAAGTTCTTTACTGATCGCTTTCAAATTTTTACACAACGTTGCATTCGACTACGCGCATGTTTTGACGAACAGTGTTGCACAAACCAAGAACGACGTGGCTCCAGCAGTCATCAAATTATTGTTGGTTTCGTTGCTGACCCGGATTTGTATTTAGTTCCGCCGACCTTTGACTGCGTAACACTGAACTTCGCATTATTATATAAATGATTTCTACCAAATTCTCGAGACTTTGGTACCGGTGTTGTAAGTAATCCACCTGTCACCCGGGTGACGGGTGTTCGAATGCCCTATGGGTAATATAATTTTTTTTTTACCCTTAACAGGGTGACTGGCACGTTGTGTAGGGGTTTACAGCTAGGCTGCGATATCTGCACAGTTTATTTCGCTCGGTTTTATGGTTTACAGCTAGCCTGCGATAGCGGCGGCGAGATGCTAATGGTCATGTCCCGGGTAATCTTTCTTTTGGTTCGCCCTTGAGAGGGCGGTTGAAACGTTGTGTTGTGCTTTAAAGCTAGGCTTCGATATCTGAACCAAACTCTTGTCTTCAGTTGTATTGTTGTAAGTATTCCGCCGGTCTCGCGGGTGACCGGTGGTCCATTCCCCCGCCGGATGCTAATATTTTTTTGTTGTTGCTTCTAACAGGGCGGTTGGAACGTTGTGTTGTGGTTTACAGCTAGCCTGCGATATCTGCGCCTTTCGCCTCAATGCATCCGATTTCAACAAAGTCTCAATTAGCCCTATATCGTCCCCGCGACGCTTCACTATATCAAAAAAAAACTGGATCAAAAACTATTCGTTGATGAGAATAACTGTTAACTGAGACAGCTTAACATCCATTTTAGTTTAGGTGGACACGGATGCCAAGGTCAATTAAACATCGTCCCTTCTGAGAGAGAGAGAGATGAAGAGTGTCACAGAATATTGCTGTGGGGGCGATCACTGGTCAGGTGATGACCAAACTACATAGCTGTTACACTGGCCACATTGACCACAATGATACTCCATTGATTCACTGGTCACATTGATTTCTCAGTACAGATTAATGCTACTCATGTAAGTCTGGGTGGCCACGGATGCCAAGCTGGATTTAATTACCATATTTCTTCAGGTGATGACTTTACAATCCTTCGGAGAGGAAGATATGATAGGGGTGGGGTGGCGGGGCGGGGGGGTGGCGGGGGGGGGGGGGGTGGGGGGGGGGGGGGTTGATGACAGACACTGTTAACTGAGACAGTTTAAAACATTATTTTAAAGTTCTGATTTCTTAAATATTTATATTTTAATAACGCTTGCTCGGTAATTCTCATTTTGTATTTCTGCGAATCTGTTGGTCATTTAGAGGAACAGTAGTCAGCTTTACTTTCAGCTGTTTTAAGATGCTTTCGCATGCGATAAACAAAA